TCCCACCCATCTTTTCATCCCATCCACTGAACCCAACCAGCCATCCACCCTCTGACCCTCCCATCCCCCCAGCCACCCATCTACCAACTCATCCATCCACTGGCCCATCCTCCCGCCCTCCCATCTATCAACATTTATACAGCACTTTCTGCCATAGCAACCACACTCTGAGCTGGCTTCTCCCAGCGCATAGTCCTGCTGATGCAGCTCTGGCAGCCTGTCCCAAGCCCCTTGCCCAAGGCAAGCACCATCCTGGGCAGGAGGACAAGAGGAGACTCGGATACGGGCAGGCTGGGGGGTTGAGCAGATCTCTGCTGGTCTGGCCTGCGCCCCCAATGACCACGGTTGCCTTTCAGGTGATCCGCCCGTCCCAGCACACTGAGGGTCATGCTGTGCTGTACCGCTCCCTGCTGCCGGTCAGCACGGACTGGGTTGAATGGAAGGTGCCCAGGGAGCACAGCATCATCATCCCAGCCCTCAAGAGAGGCTACAAGTATGAGTTCAAGGTTCGGCCCTATGCCGGGAAGGTCCATGGCCCAGACAGCAACATCAGGCACCTCTGGATCCCGGAGGAAGGTACAGCCCGAGGCGCCCCCAGTCCCTCCAGCTCCAGGCCCTGACTCGGCTTGCTCTGCAGAACAAGGTCACACGGGTTCTAGAGGGGCTGCTGGCCTGGCAGGGAGTCCAGGAGTGACACGCTGGGCGGGTTTGAGGGCTTGGTCCTTCTCCATGGTGCTGCTCCTTACAAGGCCGATGCCTCGCCGGGAGAGCATGGGCAGGGGGTCCCGCTGGAGCACACGGGAACCTGCCCATTCAGCTGTTGTGCATCCCCTGGGTGAATGGCGCGGCGGGTGCCCCAGTGTGCCCCGGCACCCCAAGGCGGCACCGTCCAGGGATCTTGTGTGGGGGCCGTGTGGGGAAGTGCCAAGGCTGGGGTCTGTCACTGTCCTGCTAGAGGGGACAGGCAGGGACGAGGAAGAGGATGGGGAGGAGGAGCAGCACCATGCACAATCTCAAAGGACCCCTGGGCACCAGGAGCCCAGGTTGGTACCTTCATCTGCAGTCACCCCCTCTCTGCATGGCCCCATGACCTGCCCTGCCTCTCTAGCGATACCAGCCCGAAGCCCAGACAGGCATCTTGGTGCTGGTGGGAGACCTCAGGGACCACAGCTCTGCTGCCCTCCACCCAGGGGTGAAAGTAGAAATAGGGACTTACCGGTACGGGGCTGGGTTGGGGCCGGGTCTGACCCCCAGAAGGGGCGGGGCCTCGGGTGGAAGGGGCGGGGATGGGGGGGTCAGAGCCAGCCCCGGCCCGCTCTGTACCGGTAAGTGCCCTCCCCCTCCCCCACCGGGGTAACAGCGGCAGCTGAGGGCTCCGGCAGCAGTTTAAAGGGCCCAGGGCTCGGCCACTGCTACCGCCCTGGGCCCTTTAAACCGCTGCCAGAGCCCCCGGCTGCCGCTGCTACCCAAGGGCTCTGGCAGCGGGGCTCTGGTGGCTATTTAAAGGGCCTGGGGCTCCCCTGCCTCTACCGCCCCGGCCCTTTAAATAGCCCCCGGAGCCCTGGGGTAGCGGCGGCGGGGGTCCAGCGGCTATTTAAAGGGCCGGGGCCATAGAGGCAGCGGGAGCCCCGGCCCTTTAAATAACCCCCGGAGCCCTGCCGCCACCACCCCAGGGCTCCAGTAGTGGGGCTCTGGCGGCAGTTTAAAGGGCCCGGGGCTCCAGCCGCTACTGGGAGCCCCAGGCCCTTTAAATTGCCGCCTGGGGAAGCCGGGCCCCCCGGTACGGCGCACTGGCTCTTGCCGGTACCCCGTACCGGGGCATACTGGCTTTCACCTCTGCCGCCGCCTCAGTGCTCGGAGTGCGGGGCCTGGCTCCAGGGACCACAGGCTCCGTGTCCGGAGAGCAGCCCGGCCCCGCGCTGCCCAAGGAGGTTTTCAGTGGCTCTCTCTTGTCCTCAGTGCCTAGCGCAGCTCCTCAGCACGTCACCATCACGGCAGTGGAGGATGGGAATGGCACAGCGCTCATCAGCTGGGACCCCCCTCCCCACCACGCACACAACGGCATCATCCGGGGCTACAAGGTGAGGATGTGCCGGGGCGACGGCTCAGGCCCAGCATGACGCTGACGTGCTCGGTGCTCACGGTGGGGGCGGAGGTTAAAGAGCTAAATCGGCCTGGCTTGGCCAGGCTGCAGCTAGTAGGAACCTGGCGGGAGCTCTGGCTCGCGGAGGGATCTCGCCCGAAGGTGGGGAGGTGACCGGGAGGGTGCCAGGAAGCAGGGCCGTGTGCCCTGGGAGTGCTGCCAGGCTGGGCTGCATCCTGCCAGAGTGACACGCCCTCTCAGTCACTTTCAGGAGCATTCACAGGAGTCAGTGTTTGTTCGTGCAGGGATCTCGGGGGCTGCTCTGGTCGGGGCTGGAAGCAGCCCCCAGGAGCCGTGTGCCAGCTGGGCAGAGCTTCAATGAGTGATGCCCCTTACACAGGACCTGGGGGCGCCTGGCAGAGGAGCCGCTTTTGCTTGGAGTTCCTGGGGCTGCTTGTTGGGCCTGGGGTGGTGGGGGTCACAGCTGTCCATGGGGCCTGGGGCAGTACAGGTCACAGCTGTCTGTGGGACTTGGGGTGGTGGGGATCACAGTTGTCCATGGCGGTGGGGGTCACAGCTGTCTGTGGGGCCTGGGATGTGGGGATCACAGCTATGTGTGGGGCTTGGGGCGGTGGGAGTCACAGTTATCCATGGGGCTTGGGGTGGAGCAGGTCACAGCTATTCATGAGGCCTGGGGCAGTGGGGGTCACAGCTGTCCATGGGGCCTGGGGTGGTGGGGATCACAGCTATCCAGGGGGCCCGGGCGAAGCAGATCACAGCTGTCTGTGGGGCCCAGGTGGTGCGGGTCACAGCTGTCCGTGGGGCCCGGGGCAGTGGGGGTCACAGCTATCCATGGGGCCTGAGGTGGTGCGGGTCACAGCTATCCATGGGGCTTGGGGCAGTGTGGGTCACAGCTATCCGTAGGGCCCAGGGCAGTGGGGGTCACAGTTATCCAAAGGGTCCAGGGCGGAGCAGGTCACAGCTGTCTGTGGGGCCCAGGGCAGTGCGGGTCACAGTTGTCTGTGGGGCCCGGGGCAGTGGGGGGGTCACAGCTTTCCATGGGGCCTGGGGTGGTGGGGGGTGTACCTGGTCGTATCTGTGTCTGGGGGTATGACAGGTCTGGGTTTGTCACAGCCGTGCTAGCTCTGTCTGGGTGTGTTACAGGTCTGGTACCTGGGCAATGAAACTCACCATCGCTCTAACAGGACCGTGGATGGAGGGACACACAGTCTGGAAACAGTCTTGCTGCCGGCTGGGGTTAAATACTGTATCCAGGTGGCAGCCTTCAATGGAGCTGGGCTCGGGGCAGCCAGCAATGCCACATGCAGCAGCGTAGGTCAGAAATGTTTTGTTCGTAGAGCTCTTTGTCCAGCAGGAAACCCCCACATCCCCGTGATGGGCCCAGAGGGAGCCGGTGAGCCCTGTGATCAGAGAGCCGGCTGGGGATGGTGGGACAGACAGATCGCTCGCTCACTTGCCCTCCCTTTGACGTTCTGGCTCCCCACGCTGGCACACTGGCCTGTTGGCTGTGCTCAATTGCTTCCCTTAGAAACCCTGCTTCAGTCACCTGGACCCTTGGCACCATTGCCAGCTGGCCAGACTGGAGTTTTAGGGAAGTCGGCAGGGACCCTCTGGGGGGGGCAGCACGGAGGTCATGCTCCTTGGTCTGTGTCCCTTCTCTGACGCCTGCCCAGTGGACCATTGGCTCAGGCAGCACTTGGGAGAGATATTTTTCTTCTCTGCATTCGACTCATTTCACGTGAGCCCCCAGACAGTGCTGGCTTTCCGCGGGGGCTTGGCTGGCACCCGGGACTAGGGTATGTTGGCTGATGGTTCGAGCCGGGAGCTGGCTGTCTGGAATCCGGTTCTGTTCCCGGCTCTGCCTGCCTCTCGTTGGGTCACCTTGGCCATGGCCCAGCTCGCTCCCTGTCTGCCAGGTGTGCCGCTCACTGGGCTCCGAACCACAGGCCCTGGGGGTGTGCCCGGAGTGGCGGGACCTGCCCAGCCCCGCAGGCTGGCTCCCTCTACCTGCTGGGCCAGTCTCTCCTGCCCCCAGCATTATCCCAGCTCTCAGCCTGGCTCCCCAGCGACGCCCGCACAGAGGGTGGACCCCAGCCCTGGAGCTGTGCAGGCAGGAGGCTCTTGTGCCCCTCTTGCTGAGGGGAGCAGGCTCCGTGGTAGCAAAGAGGGACTGGAGCCTGACCCACATTCCTGCTGCGGCTGGGCCTTTGCTGTTAACCTTTCGGTGTCCTGTGGGCAGGCGGGTGAGCAGGTCAGCTATACCCAAGGCATGGCTCTGCGTTGGACGAGCTCTCTGCTGCAGCCCCTCTGCCTCTGATCCACCTCAACCTCTGATCCACCCCTTCCTTCCCAGAGCCCTTGGTGGGAAAGATGGCCAGGACCCCGGCGGTGCTCTCCGTCAGCCACATCCTGGCAGTGATTCGCCAGCCTGTCTTCATCGCTAGTGTGGGCTCGCTGCTCTGGCTCGTGCTGATGGTGCTGGCTGTCTACCTGTGCCAGCACCACGCCAGGCATTACAGCCGAGAACAGCAGCATGCCCTGGGCAAAGGTGAGCGCGAATCTGGGCCTATGGAACTCGGAGCCCAGCTGTCTCCCAGCAGTCACTAGCATGGGGGTGGGGGGCAGCAGGGGCCCTGGAACGACACATTATGCCTGGGCTCAGTGAGTTTGAGAAACCCCAGCCCTTAGGGGCTCGGGCCAGTCCAGCTAAAGCAGGGCTCCCCACCCTCACCCCCGCTCGCTGGGCCCTGCAGCCCCCACACAGCCCTGGACATTACACTGGGGCTTGGTCTTAGACGGCTCTGATTTCTGCCCAAGCGCTACCCTGGGAGATGTCCCCAGAAAGGGGCCTGGCAGTGCAGGAGATCAGCAGGGCCCCTGCCCTGGGTGGTCTGGGGTGAACCCCAGGGGTTCCCTATCTCAGTGCTGTGGGAGCCCAGGAGTTATCCAGAGACTGGTGCTGGGTCCGGTGAGGAGCTGGCCGAGTCCCCAGCATGGCGAGACCGGGTTGCAATCAGCCGTGGGGACGAGATGAAACTCAGGCAGGGGAAGACGGGCCTGCTGAGAAAGATGGCCAAGAGGGGCAGCAAACGGGCGCCATTCAGCGCAGGACAGTCTGCTGGAAGGGGAGCACCCTGGTCATTGCAAGGACCCATCGCTGTGCAACTAACAACCTCCCTGCCTCTCTCCCAGGTCTGTGCCGATACGCCAGTGAAGACACCATCGTCAAGCACAGGTGAGTGATGGCTCGGCCCTACCACGGGCAGTAACCTGCCTGGAGAAAATGGTTTTGATCCCCACGGCATGGGCTGGCCTGTATCCCCACTCAGCAAACCCGAGGGCGGCCCACTGACAGGGAAGATTCCTGCTTTATTCCTGACCTGCAGCCTCCTGCTATCCCAGCCCTGGGCTCCCCTTCACATGCAGCTCTGCCAGAGCCCCTCAATCCCGACCCACAGCCCCTGCTACCCCAGCCCTGGGCTCCCCCCACAGCTCTGCCGGTGCCCCTCAATCCTGACCCGCAGCCCCCTGCTATCCCAGCCCTGGGCTCCCCCCTCAGCTCTGCCGGTGCCCCTCAATCCCGACCCCCAACCCCCTGCTGTCCCAGCCCTGGGCCCCACATGCAGCCCCTCAATCGTAACCTGCATCCCCTTTCTATCCCAGCCCTGGGCCCCACATATGACCCTCTGTAAGACACCAAACAGCTTACAGTTTGCAGCAGCCCCTGCCAGCCCCACCTGTGCCCTGTGATGGTCCTGCAGGCACAAGGGGATGAGGGCAGGCTGGAGGGGGAGCAGAGCCGGCTGGTCTCTGCTGGGGAGCATGTGATGGCTCTGTGATGAGAGGCTGCCAAGCTAACACCCCTGTGGCGTCCTGGTGCAGAGAAAGGCAGGTGCCCAGGGTGCTGTGAGTTACGCAGCGCTGGGGCTTTTCCCTACAACAGATGACCAGATCCCCCACTCGTGTGGGTGCTTCGCAGCCCCTGCCAGCAGGAGGGACCCAGAACCTGCCCGCTGCCCACCCTGACACACCCCTGCCGGGGGAGGCAGGCCGTACCTGCTGGGGCTCCCCAGGCTGGGGACGCAGAGGATCTTCCCACTCCCTCTTCACTGCCCGAGAGCATAAAGGAGCGGCGCTGGCCCGAGCCTGGCCCAGTAACAGCACAGTGCTCCCCTCCCATGGCCAGGGCTGGAGCGGGGCACTAGCCCTGTGCTAGCCCCTTCCACACGGACACAGGAGGAAGGTGCCACAGACTCACCCAGCCCGATGTGCCGGGGCTCTCCAGAGCTGCTGCAGGTGACAGCAAAGCTCCCACCTGGTGCCTTCACCTGTACGTCTCCTCCCCTCCCCAACCCCAGGATGGACGTGAGTGACTCCCCGTGGCTGGCTGACAGATGGAAAGCCACCTCCTGCCCCAAGACCTTCAGCAGCAGCAGCAGCAGCAGGTCTAGCAGCCAGCTCCTGTGGGCTGAGACCAAAGACAGCCTGGACTTCCACCGCTCCAGTGAGTCCCTGCCGCGCCGCGCCACTCTGCTCCGCTCCTGGCCATTCCCTGCCCGGACAGAGGCTCCCGCGCTGACCAGCCCACACCTCTCGCTGCACCTTCAGGGCAAAGTCAGGACCTTCCGCAGAGAAGATGACGCTCTGTGTGCAGGATCCCAGGAGCCCGGCCGCGGGCCGGCTGAGCTCCGTGTGCGGGA